GCATCTGACAGCCTCTGCACAGCCCTGCCACAGCAGTTCACTTCTGAAATCTATCTGAGAACACAGGACTAATAAATTAGAAGGCAGCAGCCTTTGCAAGTCCGGCACCTCCTGCCCAGCACCCGCCCGCCTGCAACGGGCCTGCTGGCCCAGCCTCTCCCAGGCCATGCCAGTGCTGCTGGGTTCAGGGGCTGCTCCCACGCTGCCCAGCCAGTCTCCTCCTCTCCTGCTCCAGAAGATACTACCCCAGGCGGATGCGGAAAGTGGCTATTTCCATGGGGTCCAGGTGGATGTTGGTGCTGTTGGAGGCCATGCCCAGCGGGTACATCAAGGTCAGCGAGGTGGGCTGCAGTGAGCCCAGCTCCAGCCCCTGGAACAGGCTGCCCAGGGCCAGCTAGGGAGAGAGGAGGGAGAAGGGCAGGTGGCCCAGATGAGTGGGACATGGTGCCTGGCAGCGCAGCACTGTGCACCATGCACGCAGCACTGTACCAGCAGCTGGTTCGCAGGCCCCCATGGCACCACGCTGACCCAGCCCAGGCTCTGCCCTTCCCCACTGGGGGATGCAGGACTCATGGAAGGCTTCAGACCCACTTTGTGAGAAATGAACATTCTCCAGCTTTGCCTGGGCAAGGGGCAGAGTGTGGCTGCATGCTGTGCTGTGGGACCAGCCATTGGTTCTGGGACACTGGTGCTGGGGCACCTGGGGGCCCCCTCCAGCCTCCATCCTGGCTTGGCACAAGCACAGGAGTCAGGCAGGCATGGTGCCAGACATGCCGGGGGCTCCTGCCTGGCTCTGACCCAGTGGTGAGTGGAGGTGGCAGCATAGTCTTACCTTGCCCTGGCTGGTGGTGCAGTTAAACCCCAGGTTCTTGGCCTCCAGGCTGCAGTCAAAGCCTTTGCGGTGCAGGATCAGGGCTGCCTCAGCTGAGGGTAGCGAGTCATCCTGCTGGGGAGCCAGGGTGTGAGGTGCAATGCTGGGGACAGCGGGTGCGACACACCCCGAGCGTCCTGCTGCCCCCAGGCCGTGCCTGCCCCGCTCACAGGGTGCAGCTCACCTCTGCCTGCAGCATCCGCAGGTTGAGGATGTGAAAGTCACAGGGGAGAGTGGTGGAAAGGGGCACGAATGAGCGCAGGGCTGGCGGGGCTGGCTTCTCCTGGGCCACGGGCATGACCAGGGCCTCGGCGTTCAGGTGCATGGAGGTGATGTGGCTCAGCAGGGAGGGGAAGCTGATCGGGCGGCCATCCTGCATAGGCCAAAGAGCACACGGGTCAGCACAGGCCAGGGGAGCAGCAGGGTCAGGCAGCAGAGCCTGGAGAGGGCCCACGGGGCCTCATGCTCCTTGCAGCCTCTCCAGCAGCACTCAGAGAACAGGCACCTGCCCAGCACCCCAAGCTGCACCCACCCAGACATGACACCCTCCCCAGCACCCAA